ATCCCTTACGTAAACATAAGAGTCATTTTTGGTTAATTTAGATTCACTTTAGGTGAAGTGTTTTTAGTTTGGTTCAAGTAATATTTGGTAATAGTGGAGATGATGTACTTACTTATGTTGCCAGATTGATCATCATAATCGTAAACCCAAACTTGACGTGCCATTGAATCGATGAAATAAAATTTGGTTTTACAAGATGACCAAGCTAGACCATTTGCAATTGTAACATTGTCTTGATGTAAAGATACTTGTCTATTGTGATTGAGAGAGTAAAGACTTCCAAGATTAGGAGCAAAGCAACCAGGTTTACGTTCCCAGTTCATGGTACCAAACCAGAGACGACCAGAAGGATCACATTTACCATCGTTAACTCGAGTATCTTTATCATGATCAACTGTTGTAATTAAATCACAACTCTTTTTTGCCCAATCTAAAGTGTATAGGGAACGATTCTTGGAAATGACAAACTGACCGGCTTTTCCTTCTATTGGCACAATCAAAGTTAAACCAGGCTCAAAGTAAATTGATTCATATTCAAGTGTTTTCGTGTCAAGGTAATAGCAACCACCTTTAACCAGATCAACATGATACAATCGACCAGTCTTCTCATCATAATGTGGCCCTTCGCCAAGTTCAACAGTATATGGTGAAATCCGCTTCAGATTGTGGCGTATCTCTGGCAAACTAGACATGTTAAAGCAGAAGTAGTTTCCTTGCAAACAATGAGCAACAGGTTAAAATAATAAGACAGAGAATCTCAGAGAGGGAAAGTTTGAATGAGCAAAGAATAGCTAAGCAACAATTAAATTGACGTTAACTAGTCAAATTGTTAAGCAAAAAGTTGACTTCTTAATTGAATTGGAAACTACAATTTCAACGTTTTATATACTCTTTGGTTTATTAGATTGTATAGAGATACAAGCAAGCCATGTGATGACTGAACAGCTTTACAGATATATAATCTGATACTGCCCCCCGGTATAGTCTTATGGCTCTACATTAAGGAGATTTACAATGATTTATTAATTAATTACAATTAATTTATCTTATATTACTAATATATTATGTTAAGAGATAAAATTTATAATAATTTTAAGGTTCTGTATCCATTGCTTCTGAGGTTTTCCATCGGCTTTCTTTTTCTCTTTCCATTCTTGTTATGATATATTTTATCCATTTGTCAATTGTTTTCCATTGTTTTGGTTTCATCAGATCAATATTCCAATCCTTTAGCTCTCCTGGTACCTGTAGTATCTCTTCATCCTTCAGGCATTCTTTCCTCCATCCCCTCACCTCCTCACATTTAATTAAGATGTGTTCCATGGTCCAATCCTTACTTCCACACACACAGTTACTCATCCTGTTATGAGCTTTTCTTATTAGATAAAATCTGAGATTATTTCGAACTTTTCCTTCAGGGTATAAATAAGTCCATATACTTTTTTTGGATTTCCACCATGTTTTATAGATGTGTTCTGCCTCTTTGTTAATATCATCCTTGATTTTATACACCGTTTCTTGTCTTTCTATCCATTCTTCCACTCCTTCTAGAAGTGGTCTTTTTTGTCCATCATTCCTGATCCATCTCCAATCTTTATTTGTTATTTTGGACATTATTTTAATTATTTCTTTTGAGAAGATACTTTTGGAAAATAGGCTTGCCTCCATTTCTTTCGTTATCATTAGTATGGCTTCTTTAGATCTATCTCTATTCATCATCTTTACAACATTGTTTAGTGCTACAACTTGTATTTCTTGAATTGATCTAGCTTCATTTGATTTATATATTTTTGTATACTCTTCTGATTTTCCTTCTCTCATTATTTGATACATAAACCAGTTTGATTTTCTCTGAGATATGATTACCCATTTTTCTCCAGTTGATTGATAGGTTTCCTTGTTGATTATTTCATTTCTCATTTGGCTTGTGCATTTGTTTGTTTTTCTTGTAATTTGCATACTTTCTTTAATGATGTTAATTATATCTTTGTTATGTCCTTCCAATAGAATTATTTTCTTTGAATGTCTCTTAGGCAAGTTCAGCGCCACTTTTATTGTACCCAGAATATTTTCTATTATAGCATCTACTCCTCTTTTAATTATTCTTGGTTCTTTTTGTGTCAGTAAGATTGATAGTGCACCTTTCCTGATTTTTTGTATGATTAAGGAAGATATTATTAGTTGTTTTGCTCTTTCAGGTAGATACTTGATGTCTGGTTTGGTGCTCCATTCTTTTGATATTTCACCCTTTTGTTTATTCATCATTTCATTGTATATCTTTATACCATTCTGTTTGCTTATGCCAATTATTGGTTCCCCAAGAATTTCAAGTTTTCCTTTTTTTATGTCTTCTAGTCTGAAAATTTCCGTCTTCGTCTCATTTATTTCCAGGTTTACTTTCTTCATTAGATTGATTACTTCTTGCATTGTTTTTTCCTTATTATCTGTTATTATGATGATATCGTCAGCAAAAGCTTTTATCATGATTACTTTTTCCTTGATTTCTTTGAGTATTGTGTCTATGGATATTATAAACATTATTGGTCCTATTGATGATCCCTGCGGTGTTCCTTCCATTTCTTTTTTGTATCTTGTTTGCTTGTTAATATCAATTTTCAACCATCTGCTATATGCAATGGAGTTTAGAAGTCCAAATGTCGATTCTCCACAGTACTTTTTTATTTTTTCCATGGCTATACCTGTGTCCACTTTATCAAAAGCTTTGGAAATATCCAACTTAATCATGTAATCATTATGTTTCATCCTTTGAATATATTCAATTGTATCCGCTATCATTTGTTGTCTATTAGTATCTTCCATGTAGGCATATTGAATTTCATTATCTACCATGGCATCAATTTTTGCTAATAGTCTCTCTGATAATATCTTGTCCAGTATCTTCATTAGATAATTTGCACCCTTGATCATTCTTGCATTTTTGTTATCTGATTTTGGGACAAAGCCAATTCCAAGTGTTGATACCACTTCAGGTATATGTGAATATTCAATTATTGTCCTAATTGTTAGTAGTATTTCTGCCTTATTGTTTTCCATAAATCTTTTCCATTTGGATTGAGTAAATTCATCTGCGTCCAGACTGGATGTGTTACTTTTAAAGTTCATAACCATATTTATCTCCTTTCTGGTGATTACTCCTCTGACATTACTTGGTATATCCTTGTATATTGGTTTATCAGTTTTAAAATCTTCAATTTGCTTGTTCCTTGATCTTATCATGTCCTCATTTAATTCCATTCTTTTTATACCAAGGTATTCCTTTATATGTTTCCATAGTTCTTTATTTGTTTTAGATTCCTTTATTTTTAATTTAATGCTCTTTGTTATTTTAAGAAGTTTCTTTGTTTTATCAATTCGGATCCATTTCCCATTGTTATTTGGGAAGTTTATTATTTCTTTGGACATTCGTATCACTGGACTATGCTTTCCCCATCTCTTTTCTATCCCTTGAACCGTATTGAATTCCCAGTTAAGTTTCCAAGATGATATCTTTAGTATTCTTTGTTGATTTAAATATTTCTTTTTAAGTATTATCTTCGATACCACCGCTCTGTGATCAGTTAGTGCTAGTGTGATAATTCGTACCCATTTTACTTGTAGATTTTTGCTAGCTATGATTAAATCCAGGACTCTATTTCCTTTGGTGTATGTTGCTATTTTGCCATCATTGACTACTTTTAAGTTGTATTTTTCAATTATTTCCCTTGTTGTTTTACCAATCATGATTGGAAGATGATTTTGCTTTTGACCCATATCTGACCATAGTTCATTGTGGGCATTAAGGTCCCCCATGATGATAATGTTTTTTCCTTCAAGTCTCTTGATCAGTTTTTCCATTATTTCCAGTTGTTGATATGCTAGTTTGACTTGTTCTAGACTAAAATATCTCATGTAGCACGATATTACTATTACTTGTACATCCTTAAGGAACACTGCTATTAAGCATTCAATATCGATTGGAATTCTTTCATATTCAATTTCACTTGATAGCACTAAGGCCATCCTGCTGTTTTGGATGATATTTGATGTCGTTTCAATTTCATTTATTGCTTTATGATTTATTTCACATATACATAAACAAGTTTCACTTTGATACTCCGTTTGATTTATAACTCGTTGAGTGATAGAGTTAATTTTATTCACATTTACTGTAGTAAAAAGCATGATGATTTTGTTTAAATCACTTCATAGGTATGTTTCAAGGTAAGAGTTTTAAGGTATCTCCAAGGTAAGAATTAAGGATTAGTTGGGTTTAAGATGAAGAAAGATTTGGCGGTTAGATTTAAGATTAAGTTTTAATTTGCTCTTTTACTTTCTAATTTATTTTCCTTATATATTTATATGTGTATGTATCTCTTTTATTTTTCGAAAATATGTCCTAATTTGAATTAAATTTAATTTTATGCCTTTTGTTTTCCCTTATTTTGTTCATTGATACATTTTACTTCTCTTAATTGATTTCAGTCACATCTCGGGATCACATATCTACTATTTTTGTTCTTGTATCTGATCCTAAAGATGATTTCTTATTTTTTTGTTTACAAAATGCTAGTTAATTTTTTGCTAGCTAAATTTGACTTATGAGTTGAATTACTCTTCTTTTTAACTTTTTTATTGTTAGTTATTCTTTCATCTCTTGTGTCTTGGTAATATAGTTCTTATTTTTATTACCTCTGATTATGGCAGATTATTTCCATAATATTTCATGTTTTTTAATATTTCGTATTTTACTGGTAAGTCCTTATTGCTTCTCCTGCTTAATTTTTTCCTTTAATTCTTTCTTTATATGATATCCTTTTTCTCTTGATTATTCAGATACAGGATTTGTTTTACCTTCTCAAGCTATCCAAAGAGTTGTTTCTGGGCAATATGTTCATAATCCTGTTTTTGCCATTGTCTCATCCTTCCATTTAAGGATGCTGATTCTCACCTTGGTTGTGAATTCTCAGTTACATATTGGTACTATTTCTGTTTTATATTTCCGCCTATACTTAACGTTGTTTTTTAAGAGTTATATTTAGATATGTTTAGATCTATTTAAATATCTATTTGCATATATATAGTGAATTATTTTTCATCAATTATCGATAAAAGTTTTCGATAGATCAATTGTGGATCTATCTATTTTTGACTCGCTTTATATCTCTTAGCTAGCTTTTTAAATCATGGTTCGAAACTCTTAATTATGGAGTAAAAAATCTTTTAATTACTCATGTTTTAGTACTCATTACTAATTATTTTTCTTTTATTTTCCTCCATCTTTTTATTAATCGCTCTGGATTATCTCTTTCATACCTCCTTAGATTTTATGTTCTCTTTTTATTTTATCTAAGAGATCTTTTTTGTTTCAGGTAAGTTTCTTGTTTTCTTTGATAACTCTTATAATTTTATAGCTTATATTAATTATCATTGTTTTTCTCTTTTATTCTCTTTATTTTCAGTTATCATTATGTCATTGTCCACAGGATCTATTCAGTCTATCATTTCTGGTCGATTTATTTTAAATCCTAAATTACAGTTGGTCAGTATTTCCATGGGTGATGAAGCTCATCGTTATTGCCAGATCTCTGATGGTATTGATTCTCATCCTTGTGTTATCTCCATTGTTTCTGGTCTGGTCTTGCGAGAAGGATTAGTTATTCAGTTGAAGAATTACTTGTATCATTTTTCTCTTCAATTCAATAAGAATATTATTGAGATAATTAATTTTGATATTCCTGATGTTGAACCTGGTATTCAGGACTCAGTTCCTCCAGCATCTGACACTGATCTGTTAAACCTTTCAAGTTCTGCCACTCATCAACTGGATATAAATAATGAAGATATCAGTGCCCAGGATTTATCATCTGACACTGATCTATTGAACCTTTCAAGTAATGCCACTCATCAGCTGGATATAAGTAATGAGGATAACAGTGCCCATGATTTATCATCCAATATTGCTCTGGACAGATCTCCTTCTGATCATACTTCTGTTATTTCCCGTCCATCAATTTTATCTAATATATCCCCGGTGTCAGCTACTTCTGGATCTTCTTTACCCGTAATTACCCCTACAAAGAGATTAGCTGATTCTATTTCACCTTATTCCCTTGTTTTTACCCCAGCTTCAGCTCTTTATGCCAAGAGAAGCAAAAATTTATTTCTCGAACCTATTCCTATTAAGGATTTATCTTTTCAACTCTCATGGAAGATTAAGGGTCGAGTTATCAGAAAAGGAGGTCTTGGAAATATGAAGTCTGGGAATTGGCACTGGTTTTGTTTCGAGGTGTCTGATTTATCTGGTACTATCAAGATTAATGCCTTCAAGCAAGAGAGTACCAGATTTTTTGACGTGATAAAACTTGGTAAAGTTTTTTCTATTTCCAATGGAGATCTTGTCCCAGTGGACTCATCTAAGTTACCTTATAACCGCACTGGTCATCCTTATGAGATAACTTTAAAAAATACCAGTGTTATTCGGGAGGAGACCAATTTTAACGAGGAAGATTACCCCAATGCTACTTTTGTCAAGATCTCTTCTTTAAAGAATATGTCCCCTGGTGCTGTTATAGATACTCTAGGTGTCTGTATTTTTTCTACCCTGATAAGTAATGGATCTCGTCGCTCCGTTTTGATCTTGGATGACTCAGCTGCTGAGATCCGAGTATCCGTTTGGAATTTGTCTCCTAGTGATTTTAATCCTGCTATTGGATCTGTTATTGTTCTTAGAGGAGCTAAGCTCACACATCAATTCTTCGGACGTATTCTTACTATATCTAGTGTTGCTACTGTCGAAGTGGATCCAGATATCCCTGAGGTTCACTCTCTTTTGGAATGGTTTAAAACTCATGGAGCTACCAGTTCTTCTACTTCTTTATCCAGAGGTTTTGTTGGGGAGACTTCGCTAATCAATTCCCTACCTTTATCACTTCAGAGTAACGTTATTATGTTTACTAATCTGGAAGTCTCTGTTCGTTCTGGCAGTGGATATATTTATCAAGCTCATACCGATTGTGGTAAGAAGGTCCAGATTTATAAAGGTAATATACCTGTCTGTGAGGAGTGCAAGGATACTCGTCCTGATTTATTACATCAGCTTGTTATTACTCTCCAAGTATCTGATTCTTCTGGTCAAGCTGAAGTGGTTGCTTTTACCGATGTTGCCTTGGAGCTTCTAAATATCACTCTGGATGATGTCCCAGGAATTACTAATGATGATATTACCTCAGCTTTGAATAGTTTTACTGATAAAAACTTCAAGTTTTGTGTTAAGTCCCGGGAAACATTTTTCCATGGAAAGTCTCACATACAGCACTCCATAAAGTATTTCACTAAGATCAATAGTCCTGAGATTTAATATATTTATTCTTATTAAGCATAAAAGAAGAAGTTTCTCATTTTTCACATATCACTTTATTCTTGACCTCATATTTTCCTTTCAATTTTGTAGTACCTGTTAATTTTTGACTCTTCTTCACTGATCTGGCTTTATATCTCTTTCAGATATTTCAATAAAGTTTTATTTATGTATCTTTTTTGTTTCAATCTGTCATTTTATTCATTCGGTGAGATGCTTATTTTCTTCTTTAAAATCTTATTCCCTGTTAGAAATTTCCATGTATGTAAGATAAAAGGCGTCCTAACGCTTTTTATTCTCAAATATAAGGAGAGTATTCTTGTAATTTTGTGTTTCTTTATTTTATCGTTTCTTATAGTCTTTTATTTTAAGTAAATTTTCATCAAAGTTTTACATGCTCTTTTATTGTGTTGAACACCGAATGTGTCCACCTGAAAAGGCAGTTTTACACTTTATACAAACTTTATATTTTGTCTTTTGATAAAACTTGTATTGGTCATTATCAATTTCAATGGTCCACTTATTCTTTAAGATGTCATTATATATATCCTCTTTTTTTATATAAATTGTAACAATGTAGTTTTTCTCATTAATTTTAATTTTTCTAAAGAAAAGTGTCTCATTGATATGTTCAAGATATTTCTCAAAGAAGTAGTTTATCACTTTTGCTATTTTTGATTCTTCCACACTTTTTTGAAGAGTAATTATTTTGAAATCCACCAATATTATCTCCAGGTTGTCATCCGTGATCTGTATTATTTTCAGAATATTATCATTTGTAATATTCTCTCTCATGTGATGATATACTCTTTTATGTTCCTTTGTAAACTGAATCATTTGTTTTATTTCACTATCTGGCTTCCAGACGTACCCTTTCCGATGGGCAATCACTACTTTAATATTATCGTTGTATTCTTGATTCAACATTGTGTTTAATTCCTCTGGTATCTTTCCCGCACATATATTATTCCCTTCCATTTGTGACTGTCCACTTGACGATGGATAATCTTTCTTTATTTCTTTTACAGGAGTATTCGGTGTTATAAAGTTGGCAGATAGTTTTGAGATGATTTGAACAATTTTAGTTAATAGTTCTATTGTCGGCTTATCTACTGGTGATTCACTTGATGCAGCTACTAACGTAAGTAGAGCTAAACACGATTTTTGACTGATTCTTGTTTTTATCAGGAAAGTCTCAACATCACTTTCAAGGAGATTTTTCACTAGGTTAATAATTCCGGGTTCATACAGATTAGTATCTGGATTTATAAGGTCAACTTTTTTGGATTTATTCATGGTACACAGTTTTCAGGAGGTTAGAGATTCAATAGTTTATTTGAGATAGCAAAGTATACATGCTTGTAACATTCAGATTGATTTTACTCTTTTTAAAGTATATACTTAGGAAGTGGAAGTATAATGGTTTTCCTCTATTTCTTCTTCTTGGGGAGGGAATCAAATGGATTTCCCTTCTTGTTTGAGTTTTAATTTTCTTTGGTATTTCTTATTTCAAGAGATTGCTTCAATAGATATTTTCAGTTTACTTAAAAGTTCCTGTCTATCATTATGGAGTGATAGGTGATATCACAGAAGTCCATTTTATTTTCTATTTCAGTTTTAAATTTTGGACAATCCAAGGTAAATGTTGCATGAGGACCTTTGCAGGTAGAACATTTCTTTGGGAAAGGACAATTCATTCCTTTATCATGAACTCTAGAACATTCCATACATTTCTTGTCTCCTCCACAATAACCATGCTTGATGGAACCACATCTCCTACATTTTCTAATCTCGAAGTGGTCTGACAATGTATAGCTCTTATTCCATAATCTTATTTCTCCATTGTTTTTTTCTATTATATAATTCCTTATGTGCATGTGAACGTTTAGAATTATTATAACAAATTTGGTGTTGTTGATCGGGTGAATTGAGGACAGGGAAAATTCCTCCCTTTTAAATCTGCTCAACCCATTCCATTTTTTAATATCTTCAAGTAGTTTTCCCGTACCTCCTTTTAGGATACTCTCATGAGCTGAGAATTTAATTTGTGGATATCTGTAACTTGCAGATTTTATGTCCAAGTTTCCATTTTCTTTTAGTATTTCCATCATTTCATCCCTCTCGTTTTCATTTTTCATCACAATTAGAGTGTACTTGTTATCTGCAAAGACGTTTTTGATAGCTCCAATTGTCTTCTGAGTTTTCCCCAAGATATCCCTCACGCAATCCTTGTAATATTCAGCTCCACTAACAAATATTCCATATCCTTTAGGTGTTTCGTAGTTCCACTGATGGATATGTTTGGCTGTTATTGGCTCGTTTGCTCTTGAGAATTTTGCTTTTTCTATGCAGAATTTCTCTTTCTTGTCGTCGTTTCTTTTTCTTATGATTATCTGATCATTTCTTTCTTCACCTCCATCCTGCGGCTCATTTATTTCCATTTGATTTTCATCTGTTGTAAGACTTGAGGTTTTGCTCCGGATCTGAGAATCATATCCATCATTTCCTATTATTTCCAGTACCTTAATGTGCTCTTCATCTCTTTTCGTTGTTATTTCCTCATTTGATGATGTATCCCCTTTGATATTATTTCTTGTAGTTTGATCACCTGTGTTTTTAACAGTGTTTTTGAAGAATTCAAACTCTGGTATGTTATCTTTCTTTTCTTGAATCTTTCTCTTTTTAGCATCTTCTTCTTGTTTTTTTGTGTTTCTTTTCCTTTTGAGAGATCTTTTCTCGATTATCCATTGAGCTGCTTTGACTAATTTGGCAACATCTTTCATTAAATCTGGTTTGTTAACCCGATTTGCATTTATTGGACTTGGGTATTGTATCTCTGAAATTATCCTCTTGATTTCTTCAATCGTATCATCTTTAAACTTGATTATCTCGGCCTGAATCTTTGCAATTCTATTACTTTGACACGTCTTTCTAATGAAGTCTTCAACTTTCTTTATGTCTTCATCTTTTAACTCTTTTTCTTTTCCCAATGTTTCCCAGTCTTGATATTTCTCCAGTTTTTCCAATTTTTTAACCATATGCTCCGGAAGTTGAATATCATCTCTTACACCAATCTCTTGTATTAGATTTCTTAATTTTTCTCTTGTTTGTAGATCAAAGGATTCAATGTTGTATTGAATCTTCTTCTCATCCTTATCTGAGAATACAATTTCCAAGAAGCTTTCAAGTTCTATTATATCATCTCTTGTGATTTGTATTAGGTCATCTTTATGTGAACTAATACTCAGATCTTTGTTTTCCAAGATTTCAAGATCATCTGCAGATGAGATTTCTTGTCTTTCGGTTGTACCATATGTCCACTGCATTACCTCCATTAGCTTATTGATATCTTGAACTAATTCAGGATTATACGTTCTTTCTGAGTTGGGATCGTTCCATATGATTTGTATCATTGTCTTTTGTTGTCTTTTCAGCTCTTCCTTTGATATCTTGTTTATTTGCTCTCTGACATCCTTGTTTGTGTGTAGGACTTCTCTCAGGAATCCATCCACTTCTTCAATTTGTTTTACATCTGGAATAATTCGAGAGTATTGTATCTGGATCTGATTACCTCCATTACCTTTATCTTTGGACAATTGACTGGAACCTTCTTGTTGCGGTACTGTTGAGTTACATGTAGACTGTTTCTCTTTACTGCTCACTTGATATTCCAGTCCAGGATAGGTTGAATTCATTTCCCCTGGTCCTAATTCTCCTGATTTATCCATTAGATGTAGTTGAGTATTATTTTGATCAGTGTTCTGGCTGCTAACTGGTTCAATCGTTGTCGTAAATTGAGTAGTCTGATGAATAGATATCTGATCATCAGTTGATTGATCTGACATTATGTCAGGCGTTATTTTTCACAATGTGATTTATATCACCGGTTAATACACTTAGGTAAGTAAATTTTACTCTTTAAACTTGTTTAGTTATTGTTGAGATAAATAGATTTTAGGGTATAAGGGTAGATATAAGAGACACTATTTTACTTTGCTGGTTAATTAGTCTTTCAATTTATTAACACTTTTTGAGTAATGTTGACTTGTTTTAAGTCTTCTCATGACCAATATGACTTTGCGAGTATTTATATATGTCCTTATTTGTTCTTTTCAAGATACTCTTATCTTGTCTCTTATTTATCTGTCTATTACATGATTTTTCCATTCGTTATTTGTTCTCTTTTTCCTCTAGAGGTTATTTAATCATTTTCCAAGTTATGTTTTCTGTCATAATCTCTGTGTTTCTATTATCTTTCAATTTCTTATGTGTTGTGGTCTGTCTGTTTTAGATTTTATCTAATCAAATTAATCTCTTGGTGCCTTTTTGTTGCACTCTTATCTTTTTTACGTTAACATCTAATTTTGTTCATCAATTGCATCAGTTTTTATTCATACATAATTTTATTCAAGCATGTTTCCGGTTTTAAGCTTATGCTTTTCTTTTTATGTAATTCTAATGAATTTTTTTCCTTTTTGAGGTAAATCAAAAACGATTTATCTTTTATTTTGGAGATATTTATTATTAGATATCTTCTTTCTACATGAGATTAACTAATTAATTAATTCTTATTAATTTATTTATTGTATTGAGGTATAATATTTTTTTATCTTCCGGTCGATCCAAATCCATTATCCGCACGACCGTCTGCTTTTGGATTCTCTTTTAGTTCCTTCATTTCTTCTATTTCCGGATAGATAATCTTTTCACAAATTAGTTGAGCTATTCTATCTCCTTGTTTGACCTTGTAGTCCTCTTTTCCAAAGTTGAATAGGAGTACCTTTACCTCTCCAGTATAGTCGGAGTCAATAACTCCCGCTCCAACATCTAAAAAATAGTTCCAAGCCATCCCTGATCTTGGAGCAATCCTTCCATAGCAGTTTAGTGGTATCTGGAGTTGCAGTCCTGTACCAATAAGCTGTCTTCCACTAGCAGGAACTGTTGTATCCTCTTTGCTATGTAAGTCGATGCCAGCACTCAGAGAACTCATTCTTATTGGAGCTATAGCTGATGGATCTAGCTTTTTAAACCTTAGTTTATATTTCGAGGGTTCCATTTGAATCACGTTAATTTTAATTCCTTGATATATTCACAATGTAGATGATGAGAGTTTAATCATAATAGTCACAAGGTTAAATACAATTTATATAAATATAACTTAAGGAAATAAGCAGTGGCACCTTATTTCTTCAATACAGCTATTAGAGATTAT